GCGTTATGTAAAAACGTGTTAGGGATATTTTTCTTTAGAAATGTTTAATATATGTTTCCATGCAGCGTTGTAAGTGTGCCTCATTTCCGGTACAATGTGGCCGGCGAGGAGAGCGTTATGTAAAAAGGTGTTAGGGATATTTTGCTTTAGAAATGGTTAAAATAAATAAAGAAAGAAAACTATACTTAAGTGTTTAGGTAAAATATAGGTGACACCTTTCTAAGGCTTAGCGATAGCTCTAGGTTTTCATTTTACAGACGCGTACTTCTTTTAAAGATGTTGTACTTTCATAAGACAATGTAATGAAAGTTTCTCTATTACAAACATTTTGTGCATTGTATTTCGAGTTTCTTGTTTTGTAATTTATCTATTTTTGACCTTATGTAATTTCTTAGTATTGAGAATATATATAATGAAAAACGTCCTAATATCGATCAATTTTATATTAACTTTATATGTTTATTTTAAGGAGTGTTTGTGAAGGTACAATTGTTTCATGGACGCAAATTGATGAAGACAAAACGGACAACACTCTACCACACAACTAGTCACAATGGGGAGATACTGGTTAATGAACATTTCAACTTTGCTGTGTCCGGCCGGTACTTTGATTCCTGTAGTTTCGTTTTGACGGTGTTTTTAGCAGGCCTCTCCCCACTGGTGAAGGACGAGCCCCATGGAAAAGTTGTCATTGGACCATTTATGTACGCACGAGGAGAGCAGCTTCTTCATTGGCAAGAAATGCTAACAAACCCTCGAAACCAGGTTTTGAAGTGGCACAGTCTCGAACCCTTGGTTCTTGATTAGAGTTTATGGTATATTCAAAGCACTGTCACAAAGTTTAATTTCAAATGAAAGTTTAGACTTTTCTTTTCTGTTAAAAAAAAAGTCCCATATTTGGGGCTTTTTGTTTTCAATTGTATAATTCAGCCTCTTGTTGAGTTTGGCCTAATAGATACAGCTTAAGCTTCGTTCTTAACTCAATTTCGAAGGAAATATTTGCCGTGTTCTACTTTTCTGATGTCATATCTAATATCCTCTTCAATTACGATCTCAGAAATAGATGCATATACACACACACACATATATTTGATTCAGTCACAGAATCTATTAAAAAACTACAGTTATATTATTTATACTATATGATTATCATATTGCGTATGCTACAGTTTAAGTACACCAATCAATCCTGAAACTTCATTACACTCTAGATACACAATTTGCAGAAGTTGTGTACTTTGTTATGGTTGCGCTAAGTCCCGAGCAGAGCACAAGAAAATGGCATTATGTTCTGTTTGCAGGTGTTGCCATCTGATGAATGCGGTGGAAACTATTTGATTAACAAATATATTTTATGGGGAAAAAAAAGTAATAGTACATATACTTTTTGTTCGTTTATCCCACATAATATATCCAGAAATATAATTTCCCTAATTTTATTAACAGACTTTAACTTGATTCTGTTCATAATATGTGAAAGTTTACCCCTAACATTATGAAACTTGTGTTAATAACTCGTTGATTTGCTTTATTTTATTTTTAAAAGCTCAGTAATTATACATATATAGGTGGCCACGAATTTGAATAATCTGGAAAATGCTAGGAAATTTGAAAGGACAGGGTAAAAAAAAGGTAGGGGGATTTATAAATGATCCCCAAATCAAGCAAGTGAAAAAAAAAAAGATGCCCCCTCCATATTTTATTTTTATCTTAGAACCTACACGCGCACACAAACTGCGCTGTTTGGCGATGCCAGTTATTCGTATGTTTTGGTCAGTCACACTATGTCATTTTATGTGGTGATCATTCTGTAATTCATTACATTTGTTGATAAGTTATGTCAAATGTTATTCTATAAATAAAAATATAATGTTTTGTTGTCTACCATTAAGATTTAATGTTCGTCGTTCATGATATTTTCTCGTAATACCGTAGCTTGAAGTAAATGTGTTCTGAAAATTTTATTACCCTTTATAACAACATTACAAACTAAGTAGATAGAACTATGAGAAAAGTTTAAATATTAGCACGTAGTATGCGTACGTGTGTAGATCTATAAAATATGAAATCTTGCCTGGGGGTTAGGCGTGGTCTTAGTGCCAAGTGTGTTCGGACAGTGAATCTAAGGATTCATGGTTTACTGTCATTTGCTACAAATACGCTCTTTTGGTCTATGAGTGCGGTCAAATCCCATTAATTGACTAGAGATAGAAGTAGCTCAAGAGTTGGTGGTGAGTGTTGTTGAATTACTGCCTTCCCTCCAGTCTATCAGTTAAAAATTATGTACTGTAGAAGTGAGTGTTGTTGAATTACTGCCTTCCCTCCAGTCTATCAGTCAAAAATTATGTACTATAGAAGTGAGTGTTGTTGAATTACTGCCTTCCCTCCAGTCTATCAGTTAAAAATTATGTACTGTAGAATTTTGAGTTGTTAGAAAGTGATTTACTGGGAACTACCAAGGGGTTAACCCTTTATCTCAGGTGGTAGAGGTGTGACAAGTTGCGGGTTTAAATATGAAGCAACGGAACAAATATACGACTGAAAAAAAAACAATTACATAGGACAACTTTGCATTTCAAATCATATGATGAAAGAGATTGTTTTTGTAGGTGAACAAACCCAAGTGATTTTTACAAAGAACTATTCCTTCACAAGCGAGTTAACTTTGCTTATAAGTAAAGTATTCTGTGATAATTTTTACATTCAACTGATTTTCATAAAAAATTATAGCTGCTATTATGTTTGAAAACTGAGAGCAAAAACACACAAAATATTGAATTAGTTTCCAGCTACATAATTAAGAGGTTTTAATTAAACATTTTGGTTTCTTTGTTGAGGACTTTATCAAGTTTTCAGCTCTCATTATAATTATTTGATTAATTGACAACTGATTCGACATTATTTTCATTAAAGAATAAATAACTGTTCAAATTAATTCACTTATTACACACCAACATTTTTTTTTAATTATCCTTAAATATTAGGTGAAATTAATACATCTGTATTATTGAGTTTGTTTTCGAATATTCGCACAAAGCTACTCAAGGCCAATCTGCGCTAACCGTCCTTAATTTTGAACTGAAAGACCAGAGAAAAGACAGCTGGTGAAGAGCACCTAGCACTAACTCTTGAGCTACTTTGGATTTCACTGTAAGTTTTATGACGCAACCACGGCCTCAAAGTGCGGAACATGATTTTGCGACATCATTACGCGAACCGTTGACCCTCGAGTACAAAGGCCGGTTTTATAAAATATGGTTCATGAATTTATTATTATTATTACTTTGTAAATAGTCGTTTTAAAGAAAAGGGATACAGATTCATCACCGAAAGTAGATATTAAAAAAAAGTTTAAAATGTTTTATGATAAGGTCACGTAATTTACTTTCCGCTACTACTATGTAATTATTATAGTTATTCTTTATAAGGAACAGTAACAATTAATTTAATTCAGTCTTTAGGAGCTTTTTTTGTTTATTTGTGTGCGCGTGTGTTTAGCGCCAAGCTACGTAAGGGTTATCTGCGCTCTGTCCACCTTGGGATATCGAATCCCGGATTTTAGCGTTATAAGTCCGTGAACTTACTGCTGACCCACCGGTGGACATGAGGTTTTTAACTGAGGAAGTAGAGTATGCCGTTATCGGTGTATATGTTAGTATGTGTATGCTTCTTGTGCACTTTAATTAACTTATACAAGTGATTAATTAACTCTTTTTCGATTATTTTAAAATATTACATTTCTTACTGTAATTTGAAAAAAAAAAACACAGTTCGATTTTAATGAATATCGTTAACGTTTTAATTTGTTTGATTAATGTAAGGTGCTGTCATCTGACGCCTTTTTTTTAATAATTTATAATCAAAAACATATTCACATAACTGAGGATAATCTTGATTATCACAAGTAAGTATATGATTTTTGTGAGGACATTTCTCATGCACAGATTGTTGGGAAAGTGGTTATTTTTAATCTGTTTTTGTTTTGTTTTTCTCTGATACATTTCCCTTTGTTCTGAAAATAGGGAAGTACATGATACACTTACTAAAATAGTACTAAATAGTAAGAAACATTCCGCACAAACCCATTCGCCCTAGTCATTCAAATGAGGCTACAGAATTATTTATCTAAAATGTTATTTTTACTTCTTGAACATGAAGTCTGTGAATAATGTGAATGAAATAGATAAACAGGTATTTAAGGATGAGCTATTTAGGACCATTGAAATATAGAAAAGATCGTCGATCAAAAACTAACACCAACTCCAACACAATGTGTTCTGAATAAAACAGTAGTTTCATTTTTTGTAAGTGCATCTTCAGTCTAATAGATCTGTGTGTAACTTTCTTCTAAAGATTCTACAGAGCCAGATGTACGATGAATTTTATTTGAGAAAATTAATGGTGATGCTTAATTTTAAATGTGATATAAACATGTGTATAAATGTAATCAGCAGTTAAGTATTTCTATTCGCTGTTGAAAGTGGTAAATGTGAAGGTTTCTTTAGACGTATATTGTTTCGTTTGTTTATTTGTGGAAATGCTATAATGGGTAAGGTATAGTGTGTTTGTGTGTCGTATTTTGGCTGTGTTGAATAAATCCTTAAAATTACTTTCCAGTAGTTGTGATGACTATGAACTAAAAACTTACACTATCCTTCACGCTTAGATAATAATATTAGAGAAGAAAAAAAAGACCTTTACACACCAAAAAATTATAAGATAACTTTTATTTTAACCGACGTTTCGCCTTTGCTGCTTCTTTAGGGCTAGTACATCCCTTCAGAATGCAGTACAAATTATGAAAAACAACTAAACATTTCCTTCACTTTTAGTTATAGTTTTGTTATAGAAGATACAATATGAATTCATTGTTATAGAAACTGATCTTAACTTCCATTTACTAATTTTGCGCATAAGAATTAAAATAATTAAACAGCCGGTATGTTAGAATCGTTTCAATGGGCACATAAATATCGCATCATTTAGAATTTTTCAAATTCAAAGGTTAATATTCAGAATCGGAGATTTTCCTGATCCTAAATTAACTGATGATTTGTTTGTTTTGAAGTTAAGTACAAAGCTACACAATGGGCTATCTGTGCTGTGCCCACCACGGGTATCGAAACCCAGTTTCTAGCGTTGTAAGACCGCAGATATACAGCTTTGCCACTGGGGGGGGGCATGAACTGATGAAAGTTAGAATAACTTAAAAATGCAGTTTGTTATATATCTGTGGCATATGCCCTTTTCTAAGTAAATGTCAATTATTCTATGCACTATCTAACCGAAAGGGGGGACTTCTGTGCTAGGTCGATCACAGAAAATAAGCAACTTCAAGCACTCATTCACAATGAAATAGTATAAAGATGGCCGCATGAGCAAAGACTATTTACTTACTTAAAGGTAGATTCATTCCATTCCTAGACAGCACATAGGAGTTGGTGATGAAATTCAGTTTTAATGACATAAGCAGATGAAAATCATGAAACGAAACCACCTGTATGGGATGCCAATCTATCACCTAAACTATTCATTGAAACAATTTAGGTAAAGTATCTTGTTCAAGAGTACAACAACATGGCGCGATGAAGCCCCGAAGTCGCAATCTTCCTACTACGAGTCCAAAGTACTAGCCATTGTCACCATCTTTCAAACATCCTGACGATAATAAACAAAACAAAAATTAAAAGTAATATGAAAAATCTATAAACAAAATAATCAATTCTTATAAAACTAAGATATTTATAATGTATTATACGACAACTTATTAAATTCACACTAATTTAATTCAACCTGTAACACACGTCTTACTTTTTTGATTGCTTGTTTGTAATTAAGCACAAAGCTACACAAGGGGCTATCTGTGATCTGCCCACCACGGGTATCGAAACCCGGATTCTAGCGAAGTCCGCAGACATACCGCTGTGCTACTGAGGGGCTCCTTTTTGATATTGTTATTTTTTTTATAATTTTTATATACTGGAAAGAGTATATGTGGTGTGAAAATTGAACTTTTTAAAAGACGAAAAATGGATTCTCAAGTATTTTTATGTCCATACTCATTATGGGAAGAATCAGAAATAATCGTTTTATACGCCTCTGACACAGTTGTATGTGAGATCACGTATTCACTGATATCAATACCTTAAATGCTACTACCCCCAACAGATGCCGTTACTAGCACCCTTGGCATTCAATCGCATGTCCAACACAACAAAACAAAATTATTATTAAGATAAAGCGTTAAAAGAAAGCTATTTTTCTAATTATCCTATTTAAATTGGTTTGACACCATAAAGGTATTGTGTATAATGATAAATATTATTAACATTTAAAATCTATTATTCACACAAACCTCATAAGTACTCCAGTAGATGAGCGGTAAGCTAGGCTTACAACCCAAACATCTGCAGTTAGTTATTTTCTTAGCTTTTCACTAAAAAAATAATAACAACAACTGCGTAAAACTTCATAAAAATAACTTATAAATTTCTACGATGTATATTGGACTCAAAAGTTCGAGTTTTGCAACCATCTGAGTTCTTTCCGAACCTGTTTCAGTTGTCTACAAATAATTTTACTCGCTTTTTTTTACTTTTTTACTTTCCAAATATATTACATTCTAATAGAGTTTTCGCCACATGAAAAAAGAAAACTAGTCTTTCATTTTCTTTAGCCCGGCATGGCCAGGTGGTTAGGGCGCCCGATTCGCAATCAATGGTCGCGGGTTCGAATCCCCATCACACCAAAGATACTCGCCATTTCAGCCCTAGGGGCGTTATAATGTGTCAGTCAATCCTACTATTCGTTGATCCAATAGTTGTTGGTGGTGGTGATGACTAGCTGCCTACCTTCTAGTCTTTCACTGCTAAATTAAGGACGGCTAGCGCAGATAGACCTTGTGTAGCTTTGTAAAAAACAAACAAAAAACTATCTTGCTGGTACACCGGTTCTTCTGAAGAATGAGCATGTTGATTCAAAACAAGAGAGAATCCTTAAAAGCCGTGGCACTTAACTTTTTTTTATAGGCAGGATTAGAGTAAATTAATCTGTGATACCCCCTTTTCATTAGCTATATTTTTTGTGCACCAGCAATACCAAACGTGAGGCGCGCGTATACATGATTCAATTTTTTTAGTCATGAGGATCTCTACAAGCCTACCCTCAAATTGAAATTCTTTTAGGTAAGATTAGAGTAAATTAATCTATGAGACCTTGGGCGTGGCCAAATACATTAATCGAAAGGGTTTGACCTCCTGAGTCCAAAACTATAACTAGATCTCAGATCGGTCAAGAGATGATGGAGCTATGAGCTAAAAGTTTGTACTTGGAAAAAAAAACAACTCAGAGGTATTTTATAAGCCACTATACTACAGCTTTTTATTTTTCTAGGAAGTCAAATATTATTTGAAATTCTAAGGAAAAATCAAGGGAAATATGAAAGTGAAACTTTGTTGTACTTAGCTTCTTTGTTTTGCAATAATACAACTGTTTTTTTTTTTTTGTCAAAATAATAGTAATTTATGATACATGATGTTGAAATACATAATAACACAATGTTGAAATTTATACCTAATTCTGATGTCTTGTAAAATAAATAAAATTTATGAAAAATCATATTTTATCAACTTCATCCAGTTCAACCCACAACAGTTATCAGTTTTCTGAACATCCCCGGTTATTTTAGGCTCTAAATTTAAAGATTAAAATATTCTAACGTAAAAACTACCATGAACGGAACAGATTACTGTATACCTCATATCACAACCGGCCTAAAGGCCACTTGTATTGAGCAAAAGACCACTCTGGCACTAAATATAGTAGATAGATGATGTTGTTACCTATTGAGAATTTGAAACAATCCAAAGCCGCGTTAAATAATTTAACTTTTGATAGTTGAACTGTAGCCTGCATTTAGTGTTTAGAAATATGCCGATATTTTATTTTATTTACGCTATTTGGTAACAAGATTGATTCATGCAGTTTTTGTTTTGACACAAATACGTTTTAATATATATATACAACAGTATAAGTTACAATAGCAACTATTACGATTACTTATTACAAACCAAGTTTCATAAACAGAAATTTCACTAACTTACAAATAGCCTAAAATCGTCTTCCTAGTTCAGAGTCTCCTTGATATCCAGCGAGTTAATTTAAAGTCGATGTACATATAATTGGCGGGAAGCTAGCTAGCTTTGTCAGGCACTGAATTGTTGAACCCTTAAAGTAAGATAATATTTTCATAAAACCACTAATGTCCGATGAGAAATCAGTAATATTTTGGACAGATATTAACGTTTGATG